ACTGATGTCGTGGGCGTGGAACAACCTTGACAAGAATATCTGCAACCTGCAACTGAGTACTGACATGAGGAAGTGATATTATTCGATCATCGTAGGCGTCACGTATTGAATGACAATCAACTTCGATATGTTTGGTGCGTTCATGAAAAACGGGATTTGCAACAATGTGAATGGCACTTGTATTGTCAACATAAAGGGAAATTGGCTCTGTTTGGGGAAATCCAAGTTCAGCCAACAGACCACGAAGCCAAAGTATTTCTGAACAAGCAGCAGACATGGCACGATACTCTGATTCAGTAGAAGATTTAGAAACTCTTGCTTGCTTCTTACTTTTCCAAGAGATCAATGAAGAACCAAGAAACATGCACCAACCGGTAACAGATCGACGAGTATCAGGACACCCTGCCCAATCAGCATCACTATAAGCACTCAACTGAAGAGAAATTCCAACGGAAAAGAATAATCCGCAGTGAGAGGTTTCCTTTAAGTAGCGAATTATACGACGAACCGCAGCCAAGTGAAGATGGCGAGGAGAATGCATGAATTGACTTACTTGTTGAACAACAAAAGATATGTCAGAGCGAGTAATAGTCAAGTAGTTGAGGCTACCCACAAGTTGTCGATACAATAAGGGATCAGGCAAAAGATAACCATCATCACGATGATATTTAACATTAACCTCAAGAGGAGTATCTACCGGCCATAGAAATCAAATCTGTAGCATACTTGTGTTGATTGAGAAAGATGCCCTTGGATGTAGAATGAACCCCAAGACCAAGAAAATAATGTAGATTACCCCGATCTTTCATGTGAAATGAGGCTTGTAATTGTTGTTTAAGTCGCTGAATGGAAGCAGGATCCGAACCAGTAATAACCATATCATCAACATACAAAAGAAGCAGAACAATACCCGCAGATGTGCTATGAGTAAATAAAGATGAATCATACTGACTGAGTAAAGGAGAATCCAAGTAGAGTGGAGCGGAATTTCTCGTACCATGCTCTAGGTGCCTGTTTCAAACCATATAAGGAGCGTTTGAGCTTACACACGCCTTTAGATGAAGAGAATAAGCCTTGAGGTGGAGTCATATAAATATCTTCTGTCAGGTCACCATGAAGAAAAGCATTCTTCACATCCATTTGATGTAGAATCCACCCGTTAGAAGCAGCTATAGAGATGATCCTGCGGACAATTGTCATTTTGACAACCGGTGCAAATGTCTCATCATAATCAATTCCATATTCCTGCTTGTTTCCTAATGCAACCAAACGAGCCTTGTAATGGTTGAGAGACCCATCGGAATTCAATTTCACAGAATACACCCATTTGCAACCTATAGGTTTTACATCAGGAGGGCGAGAGACAATATCTCATGTGAAATTCTCTTGAAGAGCTTGAAGCTCTTCATTCATTGCTTTTATCCATTGCACCTTCTTAACAGCCTGTGAGTAACAAGTAGGAATAGATATGCTAGAGAGTGTGGCAGTCAGAGAAGTATGTGAAGAATCATACCTGTCTAGTGAATATCTATCTGGTGCGCGAGATATTCGACCAGGACGCCGTGGGTTAGCCGGTACAGGATCAGGTGATGGTTCAGTGTCGGGAAGGGGTATGAGAACCTGCTGCCTGTGTTTTCTGACATATACATGACCTGGTTTATAACGTTCTATAGATTGAGGCATAATAGAAAATTTAGGAAGAGTAACAATATCATTAATGGCAGGAGAAACACAGGGAAACATAAACTGATTATCAAAAAATGTCACATTTCTAGAAATACGAAAACGATGGTTAGTGACATCATAACACACAAATCCCTTATGAGAGTGACTATATCCCATAAATGCACATTGAACAGATTGTGCTCCAAGCTTATGCCTTTCAAAAGGAGGTAAGTGAACAAAACACACACACCCAAAAGTATGTAAAGCACTATAATCAGGATGAATTTTAAGAAGACGAAAGAAAGGAGAATCAAGTTTAATAACCGTAGAAGGAAGACGATTTATCAAGAAAACAGCTGTGGAAAGAGCCTCTACCCAAAATCGGGATGGTACAAAAGCTTGGAGAAGCAATGTGCGTGTTACATCAAGCAAATGACCATTTTTACGTTCTGCCATACCATTTTGTTGAGGGGTATTGGGACAAGATCGTTGCGACAAGATGCCTTTTTGTTGAAGGTATTCCTGAAACGTGTGAGACATATACTCACCACCAGAGTCCGAGCGAAAAATTTTCACACTTGCTTGAAATTGAGTTTCAACATATGTCAGAAATTTCTTAAACATAGAAAAGACTTCAGATTTAGACCGAAGGAAATATATCCAAACAAAACGACTATAATCATCAATAAACGTGACAAAATATTTATAGCGAGAATGAGAAACTACAGGAGACATACCCCATACATCATTATGAATCATTTCAAAACAAGTGGAAGCACGATAAGCACCAGACGAAAAAGGAAGTGTTTTACTCTTAGCCAATTTACAAACAGAACATGAAATAGAGGCATTAGAAACATTTTTATTTCCCAACAAACCATTTTTAAATAAATGGGACTAAACAACAGAGTTTGGATGACCTAATTTTCTATGCGAATCCTCATAAGAGTTTAAAAGATTATTACAAGCAAGAGATATATGATTAGAAATAAACTGGAGTGGAAACAATCTTCCCACTTTAGGCCCCTTCGCAATCACCTTCCTCGATACCTGCTCCTGCACAAGACAACCATCACGAGAAAAGTTAACATCATAATTTTTATCTACCAATTGACCAACAGATAATAAATTAGATGCAAGTCCAGGCGATACAAACACCTCCCGAAAATCAGAATTTATGTCGCCAATATCAGTAATAGATAAAGTATTACCATCAGCTATTTGAATTTTCTGATTACCATGATAAATGTGTAAATTGTGCAAATACTCTGAAGAACCTGTCATGTGATTGGATGCACCCGAATCAAGAAACCATGGGCGAGAAACATTAGAAGACTTACCATGAATTCCCAAGGCCGAAAGAGCGAAAAGTACCATTTGTTAAATCAATTCAGGTTGTATAGCACTATTGTTTGATGCGCCATTAGTGGAAGGACCGACCACATGATTTGTAGTTGCATGGAATGCCTGTGCTGAACGTTGTGCTGGTCGTGGAGGACGTGTGGGACACTCAGATAATATGACCCTGTTGCTTGCAGTAATTACAAAACTTCTTATTGTAGCTACGAGCAATATGGCCAAATTGTTTGCAAGAAAAGCACTGAACCTGTCTCATATCACGACTTTTACCTTTACTTTGAGCAGCATATGCAACTGTCACGGGCTCGGAAATGGTAGCATCATGAGACATGACTCCTTGAGTAATAAGACGTTGTTCCTCCCTTAGAAGTTCTCCAACACATGTATCTAAAGAAGGAACAGGATTCCTATTCAGCAAGGCACCTCTGACAACTTCAAATTCTGGACGTAATTCATGAGAAATTGATCTCGTCCACTTGTGTTGTAAACCTCTTGAATAACCGCGAGAGAGGTCTTGGGAACATTAGCATGTATAATAACAGAGTATTCTGCCCAGAGATTTAAAAAACCAGAATAGTATTCTTGAATAGACAAATCACCTTGTTTGTAGTTGGCTATTTCTAACTCCAACTGAAAACGTTTTGCTGAATTGTCCTAGTTGTAAATGTGCTTCAAATAATTCCACATTTCTTGAGCAGTTGAAAAAAAGCATAAATTATTGATCATCTGAGGATCAATACTGTTGAGAATCCAAGTGATGATTTGAGCATCTTTAGTTTCCCACGTATCTAAAGCAGTTTTCTCCGTCGGTGCTTTAGAAACATCATCTAGATGATTCCATAATCCCTTTCCTTTAACATACATCTTGAACTGAAATTCCCATGCGGAATAATTCTTGCCGGTAAAACGGACACAAAAATTCTTTTCATTTTCCATAGCCATGATATTATAATCCCAGGAAACCCCACTTAGTAACCAACGAACGGTGAAGAAACACGCACGATCGAGAAATATCAACAATGAAATCACGATCGTGAAACACCAACAAGACAACAATGAAACCACGATCGAGAATCGTCAACAATCCAACAATGCAACCACGATCACCGAACAAAATCACCAAGAATAACGATCACCAAGCAGAATTGCCAAGAAGTAGAATTGCCGAGAAACAGAATTGCAAATCACAGTATGCTAGCAGCACCAATTGATTAACGATCACCAAAACAACTTGCGATAAGCACGGAATCAAGATCACGAAGCAACACCAATGAAGAAATCACGAAACGACAATTAAAGATTTCAATTGAGAAACGCGATTTCGAGAAATACAAACAAGAAACACGATTTCAAGAGTGACCCAGTGGGGTGTCACTATTCAGCCAAGAGAACAAGGATTCACAGGTTAGATCGAATCTTCTGATACCATGTCACAAATTCTGGCTTGATGCCTTTCTCATTGCATTTGATACTATATATAATAGTATCGGTAATTACAGGTAATTACAATTCATAATGACTAATTACAACTCATAATAACTAATTTCCTATTCTATGAATGTAAATTATTCACAATAAATGTGTTTGATTATTTCCTGATTAACAAAACAGAGATAGTAAACATATGCTTATAGACTTATTTGAGGTGTGTGACTGGGCTTAAACCTAAGCAATGGCCTAAGTGGTTAGCCTGGGTAGAATATTGGTACAACACCAACTATCATGCTTCCTTGAAAACCACCCCTTTTGAGGCATTATATGGGAGAACTCCTTCTGTGCTAATTAGAGGAGATATCCCTGGATCAACTGTTGATGAAGTCAGTAAATTGACAATGGATAGGAACTTGATGATCAAAGAATTGCAAGAGCAACTGTTAAAGACTCAAGATGTGATGAGAAGCCAAGCTAACAAGCATAGAAGGGAAGTGGAGTATGAAGTATGGGAGATGGTATTCTTAAAAATTCAACCTTATAAGATGAAGAAGTTAGCCAAAAGATCGAATCAGAAGCTCAGTCCTAGATATTATGGACCCTATGAAGTGATTCAAAGAATTGGAGCTCAGTCCTCATTACTGAAGAAAGCTATTATGCCATCTGCTGAATCCCAACCTTTGCCAGATTGCATGAATGGAGATTGGTACCTAGAACATATGCCTGAGAAAGTGATGAACTATAGGTGGAATGACCAGGGGGATTGGGAAGTACTGGTGAAATGGAAAGATCTTCCAGATTTTGAGAATTCTTGGGAATTAGCTAACAAGTTACTAGAGGAATTTTCAACATTCTTCCTTGAGGTCAAGGAAGGTTTTTAAGGACGTAAGAAGGGGAGAGAGAGAGAATAGGACACAGTTGTTAGTAGTGGCACGTGGGCTGGACAGCTGGCAACAGCTGAGTAGCTGGCATCAGCTGAGTGGTAATAGAATCTTGGAGTGAGTCAATAAATGATTGAGCACTCACTCAATGGTGATACGCAGAATTTAGTGGAGATTATTCCTCCTAGGAGAGTACAGGCCTCTCTAAGTGCCTCTATCCTATTTTATTTCCTCTACATACTTTGTTGCAACTTTCTGCACTTTTCTGCTTGATTGTACAACTAGATCCCATATGAACTCTAGTTATTTTCAATAAAAATCAGAACTTTCCTACTAGATTCTCTTTATTTCTGTGTGTTGTACTTAAGATACTAAGTTGATTCTATCACTAAGTAAGCAAAAAAACTGTTCCACTTCTTGTAGTTGTATATGTTGGTTGTTAATGATAAATATGTTTGCATAATTTTAGATTTTTTCTCAAACTATATCAGGCGTTTGTATATATTTGATTAATTGTTTCTATATCTCCACAATCTTACTAACCTAATGTTACTGATATGATGTACTTTTCTGTTTTTTATAGGTAAATATGAGTATAGCAATACTTCCAATGTCACAAGAGTTCAACTGGAACAGTGCAACAGTTGGCCTCATTCAGTCCTCTTTTTTCTGGGGTTATCTACTTACTCAGGTTTAACTGATATACATAAAGCCAGTTACCTTAACTAGAAATTGGTCTCCCACTTTCATATAACATATTTCTAGTATTTTAAGTGTTACTTCTGGTTGAACCTTCCATAACATGTTTGCATCTAGCAAGTTCTAATGTTCAAAGTGCCTTTTCATTTCTCCGACTGTACTTAAAATGTTCTGATTATATTGCTTTTGTACTGATGAATGATCTTTGTGTTTAGATTGTTGGTGGCATTTGGGCAGACAAAGTTGGTGGAAAGCTAGTACTTGGTTTTGGAGTTGTGTGGTGGTCAATTGCAACCGTTTTAACACCTATTGCTGCAAAACTTGGGCTTCCGTATCTGCTTGTTATGCGTGCTTTTATGGGAATTGGCGAGGTTGGTCCATTTTATTGTTGGAGTGGTCTTATGTTTAAAGTTCATGCTAAGTATAGAAACAATTTTTGCTCTTATAATTTGCCAACAAAATTTTCTGATTCTTTGTTTTTAGGGTGTTGCTATGCCTGCAATGAATAATATACTTTCCAAGTGGGTTCCGGTATCAGAGAGAAGCCGATCACTTGCACTAGTTTATAGTGGCATGTACCTTGGTTCTGTCACAGGATTGGCATTTTCACCTTTTCTAATCCACAAATTTGGGTGGCCATCTGTGTTCTACTCATTTGGATCACTTGGAAGTATCTGGTTTGCCTTGTGGTTGAGAAAAGTAAGTCAGCTTTCGCTCTTTCAATGATATCCTCTAAATGTATCTGTTTCCGATTGGAAAAATATTTAAAAGGAAACCAACCATTTCTACTTTGCCAACCATAGGAAGTATAAGATGATGTTTTGTGTTGATTGATTCGTTTAGGGACCTTCTCATGAAGTGTTTCTTAACATATTTGATACATGAGTAATAACCAATATAAAAGTTATGTATAACTTAATGTTTGGCATTTTCCCAAGTCATGTATAAATGTGAGGGGCACACTGTAATTCCTTATGTTGGCTTCTTCTAGGCATACAGCACGCCAAAAGACGATCCAGATCTTGGGGTGGAAGAGAAAAGGCTCATACTTGGAGGCAGCGTATCAAAAGAACCTGTGACAGTTATTCCTTGGAAATTGATTTTATCAAAAGCACCTGTCTGGGCTTTAATAATCTCTCATTTCTGCCACAATTGGGGGACATTTATTCTATTAACCTGGATGCCTACATACTACAATCAGGTACTTGCCTGTTCGATTTAATTTGATTTAATTTTTGGCATGTTATTGATAAATGCGTTTTAGAATACGAATGTTCTTGATGATACTTTCTATAATATCTCAAATATTTTCAAGAGTAGGAATGAAACCACACTTCTTATATAATATAAAGGCTTTTCCTGCTCTTATTTGCATGAAACTTGTAGAATTTTGTTAGTTACATTTCCCAATGTTTTCAATCAAGCCGAGGTTCAATTGGATGCAAGTTTTGTTTTGTCTTTTTGATAAAAATGTTGTTTTTTTATTTTGAACTCCTTGATGTTGATGTACATCTTACTATTTGTTCTCACCTGTGTTAAAGTTGTACAATTTACAAACAACTATTTATATTACTTCGTAAAATTTCTTTGTAGATATATTAGTTGCGCAGACACAAGACTGTGATCAATGTCTTTATCTTAACTTGAATGGTTAAGCGATGTAATCGAATAGAGAAAAACAGATAATTTGATGAATGAACTTTATGGCTTATTTTCTCAGGTTCTGAAGTTCAACCTCACGGAATCTGGGCTCTTATGTGTCCTTCCATGGTTAACCATGGCAATTTTTGCGAATATAGGAGGTTGGATTGCCGACACACTTGTGAGCAAAGGCCTTTCCATAACAACTGTTCGAAAGGCAAGGAAATCACTGCTTTTGTTTCTGAAATTTTTTCATACATTGCCAACTCCTGTACAATTATTATATCTGCTTGATAATTTACAGTTTTTTTCTCCCTAGACTACAAATAACTTTCGAACGCGGAACCTAATATTGATTATTATGACAATGTACACGGGAATTCAGTTTCCTTTTGCGACTCTCAATGATTTTTCTTTTATTTTGCAGATCATGCAATCGATTGGGTTTCTGGGTCCTGCATTTTTTCTTACACAGCTAAGTAATGTCAGAACACCCGCCATGGCAGTACTGTGCATGTCTTGCAGTCAGGTTTGAACATATATATCTTCCTTAGTTTCAGATTCCTAAGGATTTGAAATATTTTGTATGTTCTAATTCATTGTGATATAAAGCATATAAAACATGTTTGCGTACATTCTGAGCATCACGAGTTACCTAATATATATCACAATCTATTATTTCCTTTACAGGGATGTGATGCATTCTCACAATCTGGTCTTTATTCCAATCACCAAGACATTGGACCGCGCTATGCCGTGAGTTTCTATTTTAATTTTTCGTGTAACAAAATATAGCTTATGAAAGTTCTGTACATTTTTAAAATGACAAAGATGTCAAACAACCAGCAATCAAGTTATTGATCGTGCTAAAGACTAAGGTGTTAGGGTCTTCTTGCTCAAGTTGTATATCAGTGTCCCTTTTTTGTGAGCCGAACCTCCAAGGATTTTGGCGACACTCACCGCTGATGTTATTGCCAAAATCATTTTACTAATTACTATGCATCTATCCGAGTCAATCACTTAAAACATCTGTTTCTCTTCTTATTTGTTTCATGATTAATGAAGTCATCACATCACGAATCACTAGTACCATTAGCATCCTGATTGTCAGAATCAAGTAGATTTATTTTTCATTGCTATCTGAGTTCATGAAACCTTGATATAAATGCTTTCTATACAAGTTTGTTCTAGTTTTATTTCTGTATCCATTATGTTTGCATATGAATGCTAACTTTTCAAATACCAGGGAGTGTTACTGGGACTATCAAATACTGCAGGAGTGCTTGCTGGTGTCTTTGGTACAGCTGCGACTGGATACATACTCCAACGAGGTGAGAATTCTTCACTTGTTGCATCAAAACTTTTTCCTTGTTGAGCTCGTTTGTTCAAAAGTGATTTTTTGTTGCAGGTTCATGGAATGATGTATTTAAAGTCTCAGTTGTATTGTACTTAATTGGCACTTTGGTCTGGAATATCTTTTCAACTGGTGAGAAAATTCTAGACTGAAGAGTGTTATGGAATGGTGTCAAAGAAGGTGTATGCTATATGCACCATAGAGATTACAAAGAGGGAAACAAAAGGATGGAAGAAAAATTAGTTGACCAAATACGTCGAGCATTTGCCAACACAAAAACACCCTGCCGCAAAATAGAAGAGACGCACTATCAATTTTTTTGATTGAATCGAATAGCTAGCTAGGTCTTTATATTTTCACCAGAAAGCAATCTTGGATTAACATACCTCATCCCATGATTTAAATGCTTTCTGTTTAGATAGTTTCTGGCTAGTTTCTGCCCTTGTAATTTCATTCAAGCATATTTATATTTTATATTTATACTTAGAATAATACATATTATTTAACTTGCTAATTCTGTGTAGCGTATTCGGCTGAAAAAATAGAATCTGCGTAATAGGTTGCAGACGAATCTGTGTAATAGGTTGCAGACTCGCGGTTTCTTTCTGATTCATTGCCACATATCATAGGTTCATGTTATGCATTCGAACTTCTATGGTCAGTCATAGGAAACACAAATGAATCATAAGTTGAAATATAGAGAAAGGATGCTAGTGCTAGAGTTGTTACCATTCAACTTACATTGTTAGGCATAGGAAAGGATCCTAAAACCAGAATACAACTAATACAACTAAGAAATATGATATCTAAATTGGCCCCTGTATGTAAAACATAGATAGGAGTATATAGTTGAATTATAGTGATTGCATAAAAAAATAGAAATACAATTACATTGAGAATGGGAAACTTGTTAACATACCAATAGAACATGAACCAGCCAAGACATTCAAATCTAATCAAAACTTAAGGTGTTCTTTTATGAACATCAACATTCGACATAGTTAAATGTGAGCTTAGCTCTTACTACATAATAATGTCACGAAAGCAGTAAAACTAAAATAGAAACATGAAAATAAAGATATAAAGAATTACAATTGAATATTTGCAAGGATTCTACAAGGAAGATGTACTAAGAGAAATCATGCATCCACCCCACAACCCCCATAAAAAGAAATCAATTCATCCACAATTCTCATATGAATTATAATAAATTTATATAACATTACCATGAATAAAATATACCCTGTTATTTTTATTGTTTTCACTTTTTTTTCAACCCTGTTCTCTCTTCTATAAATTAAAGCCCCAATGGCTGAGTTGTAAAATTCACCTCTTTTGAAACACCACACTAACTTTCATTGCATTTCAAATCATTTGACACTCTTCCTTGAATTTCAGCCTCTTTTTCATTTTGTATATCTGCAAAAACACCTTTCAAATCCCTGTTGTAAACATTAACCAACAGCCCATTTTTCATGAACAAGGTGAGTGACATCTTTTGCTCCACCCGGTGGCCAGGAACCACTGCAAGGCGATGGCGGAGCAGAACAGCGGCGGCTATAGACTTCATCTGCAGGTATGCCAAATCCTTCCCCAAACATATTCTTGGACCAGCATTGAATGCAACAAACTTGAAAGAGTCATGCATGATGAACTTTGTCCCATCCAATGACAACCACCTTTCAGGTCTAAACTCCATGCAATCCTCACCCCACGTAGTCTTTGATCTCCCGGCTGAATATATTGAATATGTCACCGATGATCCGGCCGGAACAAAGGTTCCATCCGGCAACACATCGTCGTTCACCACATGCTTTGAATCCTCTGGCACTGAAGGGTACAACCTTAGTGTCTCAGACAATGCAGCCTTAAGATAAGTCAAACGATCAACTTCTTCGAACCCCAGCGGCTCATCCGTCCATTTTTCCATGTCAGCACCGCGTGTCTCTATCAAGACTGTGCATATTTCATTTAGTATCTTCTCTTCCACCTTTGGATTCTGAATCACCAACCAGAAAAACCAACTCAGCGCAACCGATGACGTGTCACGTCCAGCTAGGATGAAATTTAACGCCACATGTTGAAGAAACTTGTCTGAATAAGATTCTTTCTTCCTCATAAACCTAGTCAGCAAGTCATCATGAAGAAGTGAGCCATCTTTCTGCTGACTCATCAATTCCACTTTGCGCTTCTCAATCACACTTGACAAGTGTTCGTCCACAAAGGAAAGGCTTCGGCTCAAGCCGACTTCCATACCAAGCCCTAACCATTTCTTCACCTTCCAAATCACCTCAGGTAATATAAACCTCTGGAGTGTGGCTTCAGTGGCTCGGTCAAAAGCTGCTGCAAAGCCGTTTTCAGGCAGACCCGTAGCACATGTCTGCGGGTCTCTTCCAAAAGCCAAACCACAAATATTATCAAAAGTGAGCCGGAGCATCACATCTTGTAAATCCACCGGCTCACCATGCACCTCAGCTTTCTTCAAAATCGTGCAAAGCCTATCCTTTATGGCTCGGCTCACCCATCGAGCCATAGCTTGACGTAGCGTCCTGGTGGTGAATTCCAGCGCGGCTGTTTTGCGCTGGAACACCCACGTGTTACCATCAGAATTAAAGATCCCATCACCCAACAAATCATGAAACACTGCTTGCCAAGTTGGTCCTTTCGGGTAATTATCGAACCGGGTCTTCAGTATATGCTCCAAGTTCCTCGGGTCGCACGTGACCGTCACGAGCCCTTGCTTCCTAGCTAGAAAAGGGATGGCACAGATGCATGTCTGGTACGTGCCGCCGCACGCGCGGAGGTTATCGCAGATCCAATCATGCATACGTTCACAATTCTCAATCAGGCCGGGTAAACTACCCAATAGTGGCCAGACACGTGGACCCTTCAAAGACCGTGAGATGAACGTGAACCAAAGTAAGTAAGCTGTAATAGCCGTTAACAGCAACAGAACCGTACATGTTTCCATTTTATGACAGCACCAACCAAACACGCTCTTAAAATTATACTTGCAAACTTGTCTAGTATGTTGTCACAACAAGGCAATAATCAAAAGCTCAAACCTACAAGAAAATTCAATAAAAAATTTAATATTTTTCCATAAATAAAAAATGGGGTAGTAATATTGTCATTGTCACAATCCAAGAAAAAACTTAATCAAAAGTCTAATCTTTTCTCCATAAATAAACAGTTAGTTATAGTACAATATTCTCACAACACAACCCAAGAATCAAAAGCTCAACCATACAAGAAAATTCAATCAAAACTTTAATATTTTTCCATAAATAAAAAATGGGCTAGTAATATTATCACAATCCAAATGAAAAACTCAATAAAAAATTTAACCTTTTCTTCATAAATAAACAATTAGTTATAGTACAATATTATCAAAACACAACCCAAGAATCAAAGCTCAAATATACAACAAAATTCAATGAAAAGTATACTATTTTTCAATAAATAAAAAATGAGGGAGTAAATCCTAAATACTATAATACTGTCACAACCCAAGAATAAAAAGCTCAAGCATACTAGAAGATTAAATCAAAAGTTTAATCTTTTTACATAAATAAAAAATGGGGTGCTTGAAAAAAGGCACGAGAACTTAAATATCTACTATATTTACCTTCTAGAATTATTGGTTCAACAATGGTTGAAGAGAAGGTTGAGCTATATAAAGTAAAAATATGGAGAATGAAGAAGAGAGAAAGTGAAGAATAAGAATAAGAAGAAGGAGGAGAAAGACTAAGAAGAGTGTATTATTATTATTATGAAGCAATAGATCCAAGTGTATAATGTGAGTGTGTAATGGAGAAGAGATTTATAGGTGAAGACGTTAATAAGGCCAGACTGGTTTTCTTCACATTACACCGTCTCCTCTTAATCTCATAAGATGTGTCACTATAAATGCTCTGAGAGGTTGTTGGAAAACTTTAAAGTTGAAATCACCCCACCTATTTATTTTTCACACTCTCTCTCTCTCTATTTGAAAAATTATAAGCATATGGAGTACAACAACTAGCTAGGGTTTTTTCTTTATAATTTCTCACACTCTTTCTCTCTCTAAGAAACTATTTTAACAGGGTGTTTAAGTATGGCGAGCAATGAATGTAGAGAAATAAATGAGAGTAGTTGAGGAACATGGTGAAGGGAAGAACTAGGAAAAACAAAGAAGCATAAAGTTTTGAGGTCACATACTCAAATATATATACACCTTTTTTTAGGTTGATGAATTTTTTTTTTGAATAAGAGTTGTCATATACTAATATTACACTACTTGTAATATACCAACAATTTATATATAGTTGAAAAAAAATTAAATTAAATGTTTTGCTATGTAAGGTTTGGTTATGGTTTTGGTGAGCAACCTACCAACAATTTATAACATTTATGTGGGTGAACCGTTTTCTTATCTCTATGTATTCATTCCATTCTCTCTTAAATAATTGTATTGTCTCATTAAAAAATTTATCTTAAAATAAATTTATTTTTAATATAAATCATATTTTTTCAGTTATATTTTTTTTTAATCTCTATGATATTTCTTTCATTTATATAATTTTTTGTGTGTAAAATGGTCTAATAGGCGTATTATTGTGTGATATATGAATATAAAAATGAAAAACAAAATCTAGAACAATAATAATAATAACAATTCTTTGATTCATCACAATCACAGAGTTGACCTACCTTGCTCATTTATGGTGAGGTTTCAATGACCATATGGCTATATGGTTGGTTTGATAGCAAAAGTCAAACATAAGATCATATGATAATTCAATACAAACCTTTGCTCATTTCAATGTAGTGTTCTTTACGAGATGTGTAAATTATCTTATATTGTTTTGTTTTTGGCTTATTTTCTTCCTATTAATCTCAAAGAAAATGAAACTTGACTAATAAAAAACAGAGAGTAAGTAAGACAAGAAAGATATATAGGAGAGAAGAACACGTTAGAAAGAAAAAATATTGGCTTTATAGACAAATTTCAGTTTTATAAGTTATGTGTTTTTTTTATTATAGTATTCATACTATATACTAATATAATTGGTTAATGTTATGATTACTCCTTTGTTTGAGAAATCAACTTAATTTATGGTAACTAAGTAAGGTAATACCTACAATCTAGAAGTTGATTTGAAGTGGATTGAGTAAAATATTAAGCAATTGAACTTTGGATGTTACTTTAAGACTATGAGTGAAAGTGATGAGGAAAATGACAAAGACATTGATATGAAATTAATACATCTAAAACAACATTATGCATTGATCAAGTTAATTAAAGTGATTTGGAGAATATATGATACTATTATGTATTTAAACATGGGAAAGTAATTTAGCTAACAATCTAGGCAAAAATAAAAATATTGTTCGGTGGAAAACAAGTAAAATCTAATTTCATAAGAAAATGATTAGATGCATACTTCAATTTAATTTATTTATAAATTTAAGTATTATATATGTTTTTAATCTTTTTAAATATTTTATTTTTGTTTTTAGTCTCTCTAAATTTATTTTTAAGAAATAGTCTCTTTAAAATTTTTCATCTACACTTTTGATCCCTCCGACTAACGTCAATTAACAGAGACATGACACTGACACGTGACAACGTCAGCGTGACAAATTTGTTGACATGGATCCCACGTGAAAAATTGTCTCCATTTTATATTATTTATATATTTAATTTATAGCGACAGAAATTTCATCGCTAAGTCTGTCATTGAAACCCAAAAACGTAGCTAATCTGTAGCTAATTCCTAGCAAATTCAAACACCTCATTTTTATGAGGGAGACTTTGATTTTTTAATGATTTTTTTAAAGAAAGTTTATCACAATATAAAGATATCTCTCACAAAAATTTAATATTTTTTAGACTCGAGATGGACTAAATATCAATTTTTTACAAGCTAGTTTTTTATAAGATGGAAACAAAGAAAACGTTAGCATATAATTGAGTTTTAAACAAATATTTTGTAGGGACTTTTCTCATAACATATATGCATTTGCAAATTTTCATGGAATTTCGAATAAGTCTCTATTTACTTTGATATTTTTTATCGAAATACATATATCTGTGTTTTTTTCAAGTGACGAAATGAGAAGTTTAACCCTATTGATTATAAAAAAGTTGTCATACTTTAACTTTTTTCTTCATATTAATGTATTAAATTATAAGGATCTCTCTAATAAAGATTGATTTTTTTTTGTGGCATGAGGTAAATTAAATAAGAATGTTTTAAGCGTCGATTTTTCATGAAATGGAAACGACGTAACATTAAAATATGATTGAATTTTGAGATACTATTTTACAAGGAGTTAAATAATAACACATAAAAATAATCCTCAAAGTTTCCTGGCATTTGAAATAAGTCTCGATTTATTTTGATTTTCTGATCGAAACACATATAAGCGTTTCGATCAAAAAATCAAAATAAATCGAGATTTATTCTAAATTCCATGAAAATTTATAGATACTTTAAATATTATATTATATATGTCTCTGCAAAATATTAGCTTAAAACTCAATCATATGCTAACGTTTTCCTTATTTTTGTTTTATAGAAAATCGACTCGTAAAAAATTATATATTTAATTTAGGGTTAAATATGTTTTTGGTCCCTACATATATCTAAAATTTTATTTTTAGTCCTTATTAAAAAAGACATATTTTGGTCCTTAAAATTTTTTATTCATGCAGTTTTAGTCCTTGCTATTTTCTAAAATTTTAAAAACTGTTTAATTACTTTTAAAATTTTAAATTTTTGAATAATTTTTTCATACGTGTTTAGAATACTATAAAATATTTATTTACCTAGAACTATTTAAAATGAGAAGAATTAAATATGAATTTTTTAAATTTCAAAAAATATTAATAAAAGTAATGAAAATCTCGACTTAGAAATTAATTTTTTAGTTTCTTTTTTTCCGAGAAACTTTTTATAACGTTCTAAACATATTTGCAAATAATCATTCAAAAATACACATCAGCTTAACAGAAGAGATTAAAACTAGGTGCATAATAATTTTGTAGGGACTAAAACATGTCATTTTTTTATGGGGACCAAAAATAAAGTTTAGTAATTTATAGGACCAAAAACATATTTAACCCTTTAATTAATTTCAAGAAAAAAATTTAAAATTTTTGTGAGAGATATCCTTATAATATGACAAAGATGCTTGCAAAACATCATGAAAAAAAATCAAAATCTAGCTTATAAGAATGATGTGTTTGAATTAACTACGGAATAGCTACAGATTAGTTGCGGTTTTTGGGTTTAAGTTTGAAGTTCATGATAGTGACGAAACTTCTGTGGCTATAAATTAAATTTATATATATAATATAAAATGGAGAGAAAATGCCACGTGGCATTCATGTTAGTGAATTTGCCACGCTGGTATTGTCATGTGTCAATGCCATGTTAGCTCTGTCAAACAGACGTTAGTAGGAGGGACCAAAAGTGTGGACAGAAAATTTTAGGAGGACTATTCTTTGAAGGAATTTTTTATAGGGACTAAAATCAGATATTAAATTATTTATAGGGACTACAAACATATTTAACCCTAAACTTAATCTCCTCTATTAATTATTGTTCCTAAACAGCCTTAGTCCTAAATCTCAAAGTGGAAGAAGTCCAATAAAAATGTGTAGGCCAATAAGACAGAGATATTTATGATGATATCCTTAATGACACCAGACTAATGACATCAGAAGATAAAATATCATTCTTATATTGGTTATTCAAAAGAATATTGTAGAATCTAGGGAATAAGTATTAATCTGTCCTAAAAAAACACCTAATGCTTGCAAATGATTGAAGCAAGACTGTCAAATAACATGACAAATTATATTCTGACATATGTTCACTTGGACGATGATAGTTCTCTAGAAATCATAGTAGGATCCCTATATAAGAGTCCACAAACATCAAATCAAGGAACACACAAAAATTTCCTAAACTGTATACATCTATTATTCGATAGTCATTGACTTGGGCTTTAAAGTATTTGCAAGTACCACCTCCTCTTTTCAACGGAAAAAATAAGACATGAAAGACCTCTAGGCCCGAGACTGCTAATATCTGACCATATTCATCTTTTAAAAAAACCTTCCTGACAGGAAGGAACATTGGTGTTGTATATGGAAATCAAGAGATAGCATTCAAACCACTCTCTTAATGATCATAAATGGAAAACCGGGAAATAAGAGAAACTCACAAATTTAACCTACCATGATCCATGGCTAGCAAAGTCGTGAGGAGAATCCCTCACCGAGAGGAGGGATGTAACACTTCCTTCTCTAACCCCGAGAAACCAGATATATTCTCCTCTAGTAGTTGAGACGTTTCCCGTCCCTCTTATGAAGGATGAACTTCAAACACTTATAAAGGAAAAATTAGATCCTCCCTAAGAAATGGGTAACATATCAGCTCACGACCCATCACCGAGGGGGTTAAAAACAAACGATAAAATAAACACGTTGCTAAGGAATTTACTTGTGGCAGTCAACAACAATATGAATCCTTAGAGTTTTGGAACAAACAACTTTGAGATCACAATTGTTTCTAACCTTCTAGACTCTGAAGCAACGCAATAAAAAATCATATTGATGATTCTCCCAGTCACTATAAGGCGTGAGGTCATTGAATACACATAAATCAATCACCGACGCTTAGAAAATGTTTTCCTCCAAGCTCAAGGTAAGAAGGTGGTCCACCAAAGCACCAAGGTCACCATCATCGAAGAACTTATTATTAATCATACTTCGACGATTCCAAAGAAGAGGAAGAAATATCTTTATAAAACACCTGCAACAAAAGAACTAACGAGCATCATATCAAGCAGGAACTCCAAAACTAGTTAGGAATGAGGACTTGAATTGTACGATCTTATAATAACTCTTGAGCTGTAGAAGATTTCAAGTTGTTCACCCCCCCCCCCCCCCTTAGAGTACATTTGCTTGATTAAATTGGGTAAAAAAATTGTGCATACTCGTATTTTATTCAATTCTTCTTGTGGTTTTGCTTATACTGTTTGAAAGGTTAGTTATTTTCTTGAGGTCATTTATTTTTATTGTCACAATTATGTCTCATACATCATTGTTCTTGGTGTGTTTAAACATTTCAATTTCACATTTGTGTTAATTTCACACTTGTGGAATTTATCTAATTTTCATCATTAATTCCATATACTTATTAGCTTACTTGCACTCAAAGTAACGTGTAAAACCCCTACTTTACGCTTATATTGAATATTATCATGTATTTTTGAATTGATCCTAATTAATGGTTTACGAATGAAATATGTTTAATGGATACAAAGCCAAGATGAAAGGATCAAAAGCTAACCAAATGGAGCAAGATAAGCAAAATATTAAAGTCCAAAGTCAGGCTAAATTCGCTTGTCCAATTTACCCTTGATTAGTGAATCCGAGTTAGAGAGTTCACTTGCAAAATAGGTCAAGTTTAATGGGTGGATTTAGGGAGGTTCATATGTGGGTTGAGAGGTTGCGTTATTGTAAAGGAAGCGAGAAAATCCAAAATTTCTAGGCGAGCCTCAGTTCTCCCAGCAAATGAAAACAAACTTGGAACTCTATAAATAGAAGCCTAAGTATACATCTAAGAACCATCTTTATATAATTTAGTTTTATATATTTTTAGAGTTAGTTTTTAGTTTAGTTATATTATAGCTGAGTTGAATTACCAGTGAGAGAGAGCTTGAGTGTTTATCAAGCTATAGGCTTGTCAATATGGGTTTAGCAAAGAATTGAGAGATTAGCCAATATGGCTCCAATTCTACTCCTTCTACCATGATACAATCATTATGAGCAACTAAGTTATATCTAGTTGGGGTTAGATTTGTAAATTATTATGACATATCCAATAAAGGAAATCAAATTTCCTTCTCCGTAAAGAATGAAAAAATTGAAAAAGATGAGAATTTGTAAATTCCATGAGGTGATTAAAAACCTTCAAATCAATATTCCATTTTACCAATAACTTTATAGGATATCTAACTATGTAAATTCTATGAAAAGTATCATCTCAAAGAAGATAAAAATTTGATGAGGCTATGAGAGTCATAGAGAAATATAATGCCATGTTACGGTGGAAGATACCCATAAATTGCAAGGATCATGGTAGTTTCACCATCCATTGTACAATTGGGGATAGAACTTTCAAGAAATATCTTACCAATATGGGAGCCATTGTGAGCTTGGTTCCTTTGTCTATTTACAAGAAACCCAAAATTGGGAAGGTGAGAGATACTATGATGACCCTGCAACTTGCTACTCACTAACTAAAATATGTGTACCATATTGGGTGAGTTGGAAAACCGTGTGTAAGTCTTGGGAACAAGGTGGTTTCGGTGTTAAAGACGTGGAGGTTTTGAAATTGGATTTATTGAATAAGTGGAAATGGAGAATTTTGAAGGAGAATGATGTTGTCTGGTCGAAAATTCTTCAAAGTAGATATGGTAACATCAATATCAAAGTGAAAATCGGAGACAAAAACGCGTTACATATCAGTGATTCCATATGGTGACGGGACCTGGTTCTATCCGATTCTTCGTTGGATGTTGTCTAGAATAGTTTCACTGGCAGCATGTTTTGCAAGGTTCATAATGGCAACGAGACAACATTTTGGAAATCTCTGTGGCAGCGTGGTCAAACTCTTAAATCTGCATTTCGTGAGGTGTATCCGAATTCTAGCAGTAAGTTTTGTAGTGTGCAGGAGGAGAGGAGATGGGGTCCCGCAGACTGGATCAGGAACCTTGCAGATTTAGTGGTTAATCAAGACATTATTGATGCAAATATCTAGGAAGAGTTTGTGGACCTGCTGTAGGGTGTTCCGATTGACAATATTGAAGTTGATGATTTTGAGTGGCGGCACAATGTCGATGATAACTTCATAGTAAAATTCGGTTACGATTTTTTCAGAGTTTCTTCTACGACCCCTTTAATTGTAGGTGATTTAAAGAAGGCCTTAAACCAGTTATGGTAGATAAAATCTCATTCTAATATTCTTTTCTTCGGGTGGAGATTAATTCTTAACCGGATCCCAACAAAGTATTAGCTTGCGAGGCGAGGAGTTTTGTTGGATGGTAATTGTGTCTTTTGCCTTTCGGAAGTAGAAAATAATGAGCATCTGTTTGGTCTTTGTGAGGTTTTATCCAGAATTTGGAGGAAGGTGGATAGTTGGATTGGTAGCGAGCTTGAATTGTCTTTGTCGGAGTTGGTGAATTTTTTAATTCATTGTAAGAAGGTGAAATGCAAGTTGAGCAAGACTATTGTTGGCGCCATTTGGCTTGCTACGATGTGGAGTTTATGGTTGACGCGTAATGCCGTAATTTTCAAAGGAGAGATTTTTAATTTTGATGATTGTATGTAGACTATAGTTCAGAGGGCGTGGCCATGGCTGAATTCCTTTTGTGTTATTGCAGATTTTTGTAATTTTGCGCCTTGGAATACTCTACCTCTCCTATGTTTTATGAGGTAGGGGCTTTCCGTTTTGTTTCCTTGGGCGGAGTATCCCTTATAGCCCCTTTTAATAGACCATTTCCTATTAAAAAATGGGAAAAATATCATTCTTGCGGTGTATTTTGTTTTCTTGAGATGCCAAAATATGATGATATTCCTTTGATTCTAGGAAGGCCATTTCCATTAACAAGAAGGTGCGTGATTAACTTGGAAGATGGAACATTGAATTTGAAGGTGGATTATTAGGTTGTAAAGGTAAATGTTCTCAAAGCAATTGATCATAAAAAATATAGAAGAGTGTTATAGACTTAAATAAGCCAACTCAATCATTAAGGAAACAATATAAAACTAGTTTCACAACTTCCCATTAAAAAAGTTTTGTGTTTACATTCATAAGCTGTAAAAAAATGGACAACATAGAGAAAATGATGCCTTGTAAATATTGGAGATTCTACCATTCCATAACCATCATTAATCAACAAATCCAAGTATAAGAACACCCAAAAAAAGAAAGGCGCAAATGGAAGACGATTTTGGACAGGTTCAGAGAGATGGTACAAATGAAAGTTGTTCTTTCCCGAGTCGTAAGATATATTTACAATGACCCAATAAGAATATAGATCCATAATAAAGGGAAAGGTTATATTCGACCCATAATGTCAAGGAACATTAGATCAAGAGAGAGAGAGAGAGAGAGAGAGAGAGAGAGAGAGAGAGAGAGAGAGAGAGAGAGAGAGAGAGAGAGAGAGAGAGAGAGAGAGAGAGAGAGAGAGAGAGAGAGAGAGAGAGAGAGAGAGAGAGAGAGAGAGAGAGAGAGAGAGAGAGAGAGAGAGAGAGAGAGAGAGAGAGAGAGAGATTAAAATACATGAAGCATTCAGAGCTCTAAGAAAAAGGGCCACATGGTCTTAGGGACATGCTAAGTTATGCTATAAGGAAATACCTAATGAAAGTTGTTTTGTGTTTTATTTATTTTAGATGTTAATTTTTTTTCTACACATCTTATAAATAATGAATCAATGAATAAATCGAGAGAATTATGGACCATAAAAGAAAAAGTGAAAAAGGGTTTTAAAATTAAATACTTAATGAAAAATGCGTTAAACATTAGAACATACAATTAAGTTTTTAATTATGACACTGTCAAAAAGTGTGAGACACTCTTTAAATGATCTATGAAGGTTCTACTGAGATAAAAGGAAAATGATAAACACAAGAATTAGAGATACCAAATAAAAATGAAAATCAAATTTCTAGAGGTGGTTCTCGAATTTTAAAATTCTTGGAATTATTTTCAAACTTTGCATCTCAAAAATGTATCTAAGATTTAAGGACTAGTGTTTGAAACCTAACCTAATACTAAAATTTAGAGATATAGATTCTGTTAAGAATTTATAGTAAATGTTAAATAAGTTAAATATTAACAAGAAACTGAAAGAGGAAGAAACACTACAAATACTCCAAAATGAGATAGAAAACGGGAAGAATATCACAAAGTAATATCTAGACTCATCTTAATAGTCAATTGAAGAGGTAAAAATTTGTCTTATGACTAATTATGAAAATAATGATGAGGTAACCACTCTTTCTTACAAATAAATGTACGATCTTAGTCTAAAAGTTAGTAAAGAAAATGATGAGTTAGAAAAAATTATTATGATATATAAAAATCATATTAGATTTCTAGAAGATTAAAAATGAAAGAATCATAGACGAAATGAATAAACTTATAAAATGCCTTGTGAAATTATAGAATTGTAAATCCTGTGATTCCTTAAAAATTGAGATAAAAGATTTGTATGAAATCCTAAGCAAGTTCACAAAAGAAAAAAAAATCTTGACATGATTCTATCTAGTCAAAGAGTTATCTATAAAAAAAATTGATCTAGGCTATGATAAGAAAAAAATTGCTAATAATTTCAATAATATCTTCAATACAAATAATTCCTCCAAATGTATGTACTTAAGTGTAATCACTGCAATAAAAATGAAAATGTAACTTTGTTCTATTTTGTTAGAAAAAATTATGAAAGTAAAAATGTTGATTCTCCCTATCGTTTCTACAAAGAATATCATGAAAGAAAAATGAAAAATATGTCTTTTTCATCTTACTTTTATGATCATAGTTCCAGTTGGAAACCTAACTTAGAGGCAAAATAAGGTCCAC